CTCCCTCCCTCCCTCCCTCCCTCCCTCCCTCCCCCCTCTCTCTTTCTTTAAACAAAAACAAAAACAAAAACAAACAAAAAACAAACAAACAAACAAAAAAACCATGAGTTCTGCATCAAACTCAGGTCCCCAGGCTCTCAAAGCACTGCATTCACCGAGTCAGCTCAGCTCTGTGAGCACAACTCCAAATCCATAAAACAATGCTTTCAGAAGCCTGGGACTCAGTACTGAGCTGTGAACTGGAGTGAAAAGCATAAGGCCGGTTTGTATCCACTCCAGTTCAGTGTCTGAACTCAGAACGTCTGCTCCCTGCTGTGCTTTACTGTGACCACGCGGCACAGCATACCCTACGGCACCTGGGAGACCATCTGGAGTTTTTGAAAACTGAAAGAAGCCGGCAGTGGTGGCGCACGCCTTTAATCCCAGCACTTGGGAGGCAGAGGCAGGTGGATTTCTGAGTTTGAGGCCAGCCTGGTCTACAGAATGAGTTCCAGGACAGCCAGGGCTACACAGAGAAACCCTGTCTTGAAAATAGAAAACCAAACAAAAATAAACAAACAAACAAACAAAAAACCCATAAAGAAACCTGGAACAAGTCTCACTCAGTATCTGTGGCTCCTCCCAGCGAGCGCTTCTCACCCCACCCCCTACTCTAGCACACACCCCCACCTCCTACCCCACCCCCACCCCCACTCCTGCTTCTGATCCTATTTAACCTCAGCCAGGACACAAGGACACAGGTCTCTTGCCCTCTTGGGAAGCAGCTCCGCTCCTGGATCTTTCTTGGTGCACTTGCCCCACCTCTTGACCTCTCTGGCTCCTCCTCCCACCTTCTCTCATGGCCGCTTCAGCCTGCTGGCCATTTTCAGTCTAGACTCTTCCAAATGCCTCGTGCTCTCCGTCATATCTACAGGGACCCCTCTCAACCACACAGGAGCAGCCATGTCCTCATTTTTTTTTTTCATTCAAAATCATTATGAATTGTGGCTTAATGGAGTAATTGTAGTCGAATGGTAATGCTCCTTTTATTGTATTTGTTTCATTTTACATTTGCGTTATTACATACTTGCCAGGCCCATCAGTCCCTACACGTTGAATTCGTGGGATGATTAGCAGTGAGGACTAAAGGACTCGGGACCTCTATCCTGACAGAAAAGATCATGAAAGCATCTTTATGGTCCAAATACTCTTCTCTACTATTGAGGTAGTCAGAGAGTTCCTATGGCTGTTTTAGTTCTAGGTTACTGGTTTTATTTTCCCTTTTCTTTTCAGATACTTCTGATTCTGACAGCTCAATCACCATGAAAGGACGGAAAAGGACAAGACGTAAGAACAATTTTAAATTCTAAATGTAGCAAATACGTCTCTGTGTTACTAAAGTTCTAAATCACTCTGATTTTAGATACCCTTTAAAGTAAAAAAATAGCCTAGGATTTTAGATCATTCAGTTTTGTTTTTGTTGTTGTTGTTGTTCAATTGAGTTTAAGATATTTGTTATGATAGGTCTCAAAACACTCAACAGCACAAGTCACAGTATAGGCTCATGATTTACCCAAGTAAAGAGGATGAAGTTGGTCCTGGGCAGAGAAGTTCACTTTGTTCCACACAATCGTCTAGGGCCCTGAGATCTTAAAGATGTGTTTTGTCACTCACCATGCCCGCCACTCTGCAATAAACAGAAATGGAAGCAGATGGGGCACAAATACATCTCAGAAAGGGCATGAGGCATGAGAAATGGACACAGAAGAGAACGAACACCAGAGCAACTTGTCTCCAGCATTGGAGACAGTTTCTGGGACAGATGGATGCAAGGTTGACATGCTGACAGGATTGCCTCTGTGCCTCCCAGACTGCAGGTCTGTCGTGCCCTCCTCACGTAAGCTGCAGGATTGCCCATCCCCCTTTCCACCTCTCACACAAGCTGGCAGGATTGTGCCTTCCTGCACACTCATTCAGGTTGCTCTGTGTGTGTGTGTGTGTGTGGTGTGTAGTCTCACTGAACCTGGAGCTCACTGACTGATTCAGTGAGGGTGTCTGGTGAGCAGGCTTCAAGGACTCCTGTCTCTGTCTCCTTGGCTCTGGGATTATAATTACCCCTGCCACACCCAGTTTTTTACATGAGTATTGGGGATCTGAACTCAGGTCCTCAGGCTGGGTGGCAAACAGTTTACCGATGGAGCCATTTCCCTAGCCCTCTTCCAGCTTTTCTCATAGAGAATCTCTTCCTGGGTTGGTTCTCAGGACACAGACCAGACCTGTTCAGGACTTTTGCTTCTTCCTGCAGGAGTATTACATAGTTCCTCTTCTGAACTGAGTTCTGGAGAGGAATCTCAGAATTCCTAAGAAGTGGACCAGGAAGATTAGGATGCCCAGCTTTGGCCCACGGGATGGCAGGAATTTGATGACCAAAAGCAAGCCGCCGTGACTAGATGCATTTTGTTCTAAGCAAGATGACTGCTGTGCACTGGTTATCCAGGGAGCTCCTTTTCAATCTGAGAAAGTGTAGGAGGCAGGAAATGATTATGAACTCATGTTTAAAGCTTGAATCCTATCAATTAAATGCATGTGCTTATGTATTGCTGATATGGAAGAAATAAATAGAATAATTTTTTTTTACGCTCACTGCCATGCCTACTGTGGTGGTTTGCATAGGAATGACCCCCACAGGCTCCTATATTTGAATGGTTGGTCACTGAGAGGGATTAGGAGGTGTGGCATTGTTGCAATGGGTATAGTTGGAGGAAGTGTGTCACTTGGGGCTGGCCTTTGGGATTTCAAATGTTCAAGCCAGGCCCAGTCTTTCTCCCTGTTGCCTGCTGATCCAGATATAGAATTCTCAAATATCTCTCTAGCACCATATCTGCTTGGATGCTGCCATGCTTCCTGCCATGATGGTTATAGACTAAACCTCTGAAACTATAAGTCAGCCCCAATTAAATATTTTTTCTTATAAAAGTTTCTATGGTCATGGTGTCTCTTCACAGCAATAGAACATTGGCTAAGATACCTACTAACACAAAGATCCTGTATTCATAGGGTCATTTGTAATTGTAAAAGACTCAAAATACAACTAGCCAAATGTTAAGGTTTGGTCTTTTGCTAGCTATTATAATGCTAAGTGTGGGCCCCCAAAACTTGGAGTCTACACATAGCTCTTGTGACCCTATCCCCAAGTTATTTCTGATTGGTAAATAAAGATGCCAATAGCCAATAGCCTGGTAGAAGAGACGCAGGTGAGGTTTAGGTTTCCTGGGCTTGGGGTCAGAGAGGAGCCACAAGTGGAGAAGAAGAAAGTGCAAGAAGAAGAAGCAGAAGCAGCCATGGGTTAGAAGTAAAGAAAAGGTGGCCCTGTGGGCTAACCTATTGGAGGTAAGAGTAGCCCAGATGAAACATAGTAGTAACTCAGGGTTATCAATAGGAAGGTAGATTCTAACAGCATAGAGAGTAGTATCTACCCCCATTCTTGTGTTGTTTAGGCTTATTGTAAATATAAAGGTTGTGTGTGTCTTTCATCCAGAAACTTAAATAGCCAAGATGGGGTAGAAACCTCGAGCTGGGATTTAAGTAAAATTTACAACAGCCAAGTGCTGTAATAACAGACACAAAAGTTTCAGACTGACCATTGTCAAATTTAGCACAGTTTTTTTTTTTTTTTTTGGTTTTGGTTTTTTGTTTTAGGTTTTCCTAGACAGGGTTTCTCTGTGTAGCCCTGGCTGTCCTGGAACTCACTCTGTAGACCAGGTTGGCCTCAAACTCAGAAATCCACCTGCCTCTGCCTCCCAAGTGCTGGGATCAAAGGCCTGCACCACTATTGCCCGGCTAGCATAGTTTTTGATAGATGTCCTTCACTACCTAGTTAGTTAACTTATGTTATCTCAACATACTTTTGGCAAGATCATAACAGCCATGAGAATTAGGAGGCTAACTCTTGCTATTCACATTCTGAGTTTCTGAGTAGAGGAAAGTAGTATACAAACGTGTAAGAGTTAAAAACAAGGAAGGAAGTCTGAGATCTATCAACCCATGTGTCTCACAGTTAGTGACTGTTGCGTATAATGGGAGGAAAAAAGCTGTTTCCATGGTCAGACTCCAAAAAGGTGGTTGGGAACCCAGAATATTCAGTTAAATGTATCAGAACTTTATATAACCAAAAAAGCATATTTAATAACAACTTTAAAAACACGTAAGGGAAAAGTGAGATGGCTCAGTGGGTTAGAGTGCTTGCTACTCAAGTGTGATCACTAGTGTTCAATACAAAAACCAGGAAAGCATGGCAGCCCACGTTCCACTGTACAGGAGGCAGAGATAGGATCCCTTAGACAAGATGGCTAGCTAGACTGTCCAAATCTGGCGAGCTCCTGGGCTCATTGAGAGACCCTGCCTTAATAAATAGAGGGGAGAATGGTGGAAGATGCCAATATCAATTTCTGGCCTCCTTGTGCATGTACACATACATGTACACCACACATACATGTAGATATCACACACACACACACACACACACACACATGGGGCCTAGAGACAAAGCTCAGTTAATAAGGTGTCTGCAAGGACCTGCATTTGATCTCCAAAATCTTGTTTGTTTTTTAAAAGAAAAAAATGTGCCATATACTTGCAATTCCATGGTCATTGATCATGATCAGTGGTCACTGATGTGGTCAGTTGTAGTGCCCACTGCGCCAGTCAGTAATAGTCACCCCTGGTGTAGCCACTGAGGTAGTTGGTTATAGCAGTTACCGTGATGGTCAGCCATAGCGGTCATTGAAGTGACCAGTTGTAGTGATCACTGTGATGGCCAGCCATAGTGGTCACTGTGGCAGTCATTGACATGGTCAATTATAGTGTTCACTGTAAGGCTCAGTCACAGTGAGCATTCTGTGAGTGAAGGAATGAATGAATGAAGACAGAAAAAAGATGGCCATAAAAAAGAAGGAACAGAGGCAACAATTTTGTATACTAAATATCCAGAAATGATTAACAGAGCCGGGCGGTGGTGGCGCATGCCTTTAATCCCAGCACACGGGAGGCAGAGGCAGGTGGATTTCTGAGTTCGAGGCCAGCCTGGTCTACCGAGTGAGTTCCAGGACAGCCAGAACTACACAGAGAAACCCTGTCTCAACTCTCCTCCCAACCCCCAAAAAAGAAATGATTAACAGAGAAATAAAGGGGAAGACCGAATCAGAGCATTGTGAACAAAAAGCAGCACAGGAGTTGGGAGACGTGAGAATGTCAGGCTGGTGCATGTGCAGAGGCAGAGCAGCAGGCAGGAAGTATAGCAGGATGAGGGACAGTCTGTTGGACGGGGGGGGGGGTATAGTTACTAGAAAGCTGTGTATTTTTTCTCAGTTCATTTGAATGCCAAACGCTCCTCAGGATCATGCTCAGGGAGTTCCTTGGCCACACCTCTAATCCTCAGTTTATCACATCTGATAAATCCAGACCTCTTCAATGAACACAGGAAGAGAGTTGGAAGGGATGCAGCCTATTAGGGTATGGTGGAGACATTAACTACATCTTTGTTTCCCTCGAGAGAACCAAAAAGAACTTATCTGGGCTCCGTGATGGGGGCAGGGACTACTCGGTAGATGATGACAGCAGAAAGAATAGGAAAGGCGTATTCCCTTGTACCGGAAACGTGCAGACAAAGTCCGAGACTGACAGGTGTGCGGCACAGAATTATCACAGAAAAATAGCAAAGTGGCAGAGACGATAGTGTGTTCCATGTGAGAGGAGCTGGCCTTTGGTTGCCATGACAGCAATGACCTGTGAGGTGAAACAAAGTATATGATGGAGACGGGGACAAAAGCAAAGAGTTACATAAAAACAGCCCCCAAATCAAGATAAAAAGAAAAAAAACAACTAGAATAAAATAGAAAACAGAAAGGAAGATTATATTGGCTAGTTTTCTTTCAACTTGACACAAACTGAAGTCATCTGAGAGGAGGGAACCTCAGTGGAGATGCCTCCATAAGGTGGGGCTGTGGGCAAGCCTATCTTATTAGTGATTAATGGGAGAGGGCCCATCCCACTGGGGGTGATATTGCCCTTGGGCTGGTGGTCCTGGGTTCTATAAGAAAGCAGCCTGAGAGGCCGGGCGGTGGTGGTGCACGCCTTTAATCCCAGCACTTGGGAGGCAGAGGCAGGCGGATTTCTGAGTTCGAGAGTTTGAGGCTAGCCTGTTCTACAGAGTGAGTTCCAGGGCATCCAGGGCTACACAGAGAAATCCTGTCTCGAAAAACCAAAAAAAAAAAAAAAAATTAAAAGAAGAAAGAAAAAAAGCAGGCTGAGCAAGCTGTGGGGAGCAAGCCAGTAAGCAGCACCCCTCCATGGCCTCTGCATCAGCTCCTGCCTCCAGGTTCCTGCCCTGTTAGAATTCCTGATCCAACTTCCTTCCATGATAACAGTGATGTGGAAGTGTAAGCTGAATAGGCCCTTTCCTCCCCAAGTTGATTTTAGCCATGGTGTTGTATCTCGGCAATAGTAATCCTAGCTATGACAGAGAAGGAAGTAGAAACAATGTCACCTCATCAAGAAAAGGTCCAGAGACATGAGCATAAAGAAGTAGGCAGGATAAAATATACACAGATGATAAAGGAGCAGGTTAAGAACTGTGAGTCATACAAATTAGAGAATGTGTTAAAAGGTGAGAAAAATCCGGGCAGTGGTGGCGCAGGCCTTTAATCCCGGCACTTGGGAGGCAGAGGCAGGCAGATTCTGAGTTTGAGGCCAGCCTGGTCTACAGAGTGAGTGCCAGGACAGCCAGGGCTACACAGAGAAACTCTGTCTCGGAAAACCAAAAAAAAAAAAAAAAAAAAGAGGTGAGAAAAATGTATTGGCGAGGTGGTATAAACAGGAAAGAGAAGAGAAAAGAACGAGAGTGGCAAGATGAAAAGGTGTGGCAGACAGCTGCCCTGGGGTTTGACTGTACAGTTCTGAGGCAGCAGAGTAACCCTGTGGCTCATCCCGATTACCCAGATTATCTAACAGGGTGGACGAGTCTGCCCCCAAGTCTTAGAATAAAGGTGGATTACACATAACAGGTACTACGGCATGTGACCATGGTTCAAAAAGAAAATCAGACTGGCTCAGAGACAGTCTCCCAGCTACAGGATGTTAGAAACCTGAAACAGACTCCCAGTCCCTGCTGCACTTGGTTGTGAGCATTTTGTATTGAGGACCAGGTCCAGTGAGTTCAGATCCCAAGACCAATGGAAAAAGCTGAAAACCATGGTGCACACTTGCACCCTAGGGATGGGGAAGCAGAAACAGCAAGTTCCTGTGGGCTCGCTCACCGGCTATTTGATGCAATTGCAAGCTCCAGGCTCAGTTGAGAGACTTTGTGGCATAAAATAAATAATGTGAAGGGCAAGGGAGAAAGATACCTGATACGACACATACACACATGTACATGCACACACACATGCACATATACATGCACACACATGTACACACATACATGTCCCCCAGCTTTCCAAGCAGTAATGCAAATTGCCATAATACTTGTGACTTTCATTTATACTTTACAGTTCTCTGACCACTGTCTTTGCTTTGTAAATACCATAGATGTTCGAAACAATCCTATCCTGGGGAAAGACGGTGGAAAAAGAAGTAAGAACAAAAATTTACTTATCTTCATGTTACAAATGAACTTTTTTCTGATGTTAAAAGTTATTGTTATTGTTTCCTATACCTTAAATAGGACAAAATGAGTGTTTTAAAAATGATAATTTAGCTTTTTTTCAAAATATTATATTTTCATCATTTTTATTCTACTTTTAAGTGTTTCTTACAGACTGGTATACATCTTTTAAGAATATATCAATGTATATATTAACATAGCATAGAATGACGTTATTTGCATAAGTTAGATAATTCTATATATGTTTTCCTTTTCTTGCTTTGTAAAGAAAACAATCATGGCTGATCAGTTGGTACATTCTATGTTTTTACTCACTATTTGTTTTAACATAATAATGCTGATTTTACACTTTTTAGTGTGTACTAATTTGTCATAAATAACAGGTTACTTTGTGATCTGAACAGGTTTTCATAATAACAGGCTACTTTATGATCTTCTCATTCATATATTAAAGTACTTTGATTGTGCTTGCCTTTAGCTGAACTGCCTTAAACACTGCTCGAGGACCCTATTAGCATCTGTTGCTTTCATTTTAACACAGCAGTAATATCTCACTCACTTCCTGTTATGTGTTCCTCTCTCCCTGAACTCTCAGCTGCTGCACAGCCTCTCTTCCTTTCATTCCTAAACAATGATAGAGATCTCTCCATTCTTACACGTTGTTAGCGCCTGAGTATCTCTAGGGTTTCTGTTCCACTCCTCGGTGTTCTGGTGAGTTTGTTAATAGAATCGTTTGTCCTAGGGAAGTTTGAAGCTTTTTGTTATTTAAATCTATTGTCATTTTCCCTACACTGTTTCCTAGCTTTCATACTGAAATTGTAGCCATTTCCATCTGGAGATTTAAAAAAAGATCGTTCCATATTTGATTTTAGAGTGCTTGGAAGAAACCTGACCATTTTTTTTAATGTTTACATCCCTAGTCCCCATGAGATTTGACTCTTTGTATAAATGGGAAACAAGAGTCAAAGAATCATCTAGGGTTGGTGCTGTGTACCTTTAATCCCAGCACTCGGGAGGCAAAGGCAAGTGGATCTCTGAGTTCAAGGCCAGCCTGGTCTATGGAGTGAGTTTCAGGATAGCCAGGGCTACACAGAGAAACCCTGTCTTAAAAACAAAACAACAACAACAAAGAATCTGAAACCATCCCCTATGCTACTGTGCAGTGCTGGAGATGTTGCTTGTCCCCCTGTTCATGTCTCAGTCCCCACCCCTTCCACCTTTGCCGCCTGAAGACAATACAAAAATGAACAGAGAAGAGGGCTCAGAGGTACAGCCATCGCAGTGACTTGCTGGGAGTGGATTTTGGAATAAATTCAAGAATATTTCCCCCTACCTACTTAGTCCACTGGAATCTCTGGTTAGAATTTCATTTGTCATATTAATTAATAGCATTCATCAGATTAATTTGAGAAGAACTCAAGTGTTCTTTCATAAAGAATTTTCTTTATATAATTTCTACACATTTAAAAATTGTATGTTGAATAACTCTGTTTCTGTGAAGACTTTTCAATGATGACTGGCATCAATTTATGTGAAACAAGACTCTCAAAATCTTTATTTGAAGCCCTTTTATCATCTCCTTTTATGAGAGGGAATCACACTGCTAGTGATTAAGCATAAAATCTTACAAGTGTTTATATGGGTTAGGGACCTAAATATAATATACTGTTGTCAAAAACCATCCAGTAAGATAATCTGCCAGAAACAGAGGTCTTTTTGGAAATTAGCTTCATGAGAAGTATCATTAATTTCTAATTGCAGGACACTTGCAATGACAAATTTGTCATCGTGGCAGGGCAAATTGATAAGGGTATGAGTAGGAGAGGCCCCATGCTTCACTAGAGAGCAAGAAGTAACTTCATCACAAAATCTCTCGTTTTAACACTTCACCAGATCGGATCTCTACAGTAAGACTTGCAGTGCAGTGCACTGTCTCCTGCAGCGTTCACTGGAGACTTGCCCTTCATCTCTTTCTCTCCCTCATTTTTCCTTTCCTTTCTTTCTTTTTGGTTTGTTTGATTGCTCGTTTTGCTTTTTTGAGATAGGATTTCTCTGTGTAACCGTCCTGGCTGTCCTGGAACTTGCTTTGTAAACCAGGCTGTCCTTGAACTCATAGAGATCCACCTGCCTCTGCCTCTGGAGTGCTGAGATTTAAGATGTGTACCACCACCCACCTTTTGTTTCAAAGTTCTTTTTAAATTTATTTTATCAAACATATGAGATGGGCTGGAGAGATGGCTCAGTGGTTAAGAGCACTGACTACACTTCCAGAGGTCCTGAGTTCAATTGCCAGCAACCACATGGTGGCTCACAACCATCTGTAATAGGATCTGATGCCCTCTTCTGGTGTGTCTGAAGACAGCAACAGTGTACTCACATACATTAAATAAATAATTCTTAAAAAAATATGCGATATAGTCTCTGAAAACAGATATCAAGTTAAGGTGATGGTACATATCCACTCCTTCTCTGGAGGCTGAGGCAGGAGGATGTGCCTTATTAAAATCATTGAGATTTTAAGTTTAAGCAGAAACCACATTTCTTCCTTTATCCTTTCCAAACCTGGTTCTCTTAAAGCTCTGTTCTTGCACAGATGAAGCCATGGGTAAGCCCAGGAACTATGCCTTTATAGCAGCATTAGAATTTCATTTGGTATGATAAAACTAACTGGAAACTACAAAAAGCCAGGTAGTGGTGGTGGTGGTGGTGCACGCCTTTAGTCCAGCACACAGGAGGTAGAAACAATCAGATCTCTGTGAGTTCAAGGCCAGCCTAGTCTACAAAGCAAGTTCCAGGACAGTAAGGGCTACATAGAGAAACCCTGTCTTGAAAAAAAAGAAAACAAATAAAACAACAACAAAGAAAGAAAGAGAGAAAGAGAGAGAGAGAGAAAGAAAGGAAGAAAGAAAGAAAGAAAGAAAGAAAGAAAGAAAGAAAGAAAGAAAGAAAGAAAG